AAATTTTTATACACTCCAACAATACTCTTTATTTTGTTTTTCTCAAAAAATATTTAACAATTTCTCCTCATATTTTTTATTTAACATAATTTTTGTTGATAGAATCAACGGTCTAGTGTGAAGCAAGAATTAGGTTATTGAAGCTCAATTGTTGGTGATCATAGTGACTATGATGATGACCCGAAAGGTGTGTAGAGTACTGAGTTGGCTGAGAATTTAGTGTGGCGAATCATTGGACAATGTAGTAGTGGCTGATTTGATAGATGATTTGATGGTGAATTGACTTAAAGATGCTTGACATTTAGATTGATGTTTTGTCGATAAAATGATTTAAAGATGCTTAGCGGTGAATGAAGAAATAGGAGGGACGGTGGTTGTGTTAAATTTATTTTTTAAAATTTCTATCACTTTATTGAAATGATTCCAATTTTTAGTTGGTGTTTTGTCATTTGTTTTTAAATTTTTTCACTTTTTTTAAATGTTTGCCACTTTTTTAAGTGTATGTCACTTTTTTTTCTGTCACTTTTTTAGCATTTGTCATTTTTCTTATTGTTTCCTTGAAATTTTTGTCACTTTGTTGAGTGACAGACATCAATTTTAAATAAAAGTAACATTATATATCGTTGTATAATTAAAAAAAGTGACACATAACTTTTCAAAGTGACTTTATAAGAAAGTGGCACTTAAATTTACATAGTATTTTTTACTTTCATAATACTTTTCATTTGATTTTTCAAAAGATTCCTAATTTTAATTGGTTGAGTTGATAGATGACGGTGGTAATGAATTGACTTAAAGATGTTTAACGTTTCGATCGGTGTTTTTGGATAAATTGACTTAAAAATGTTTGGTGGTGAATGAAGAAAGAGAAGGAATAGTGGTTGAATCATTTTTTTTTAATTGTCGCTTTATTGAATTGATTATAATGTTTTAATTGGTATTTTGTCACTTTTTTCTTTAATTTTTGTCAATTTTTTAAATGTTTATTACTTTTTTGAATTTTTATCACTTTTTCTATTATTTTCTTAAAATTTTTGTCACTGTTGAGTGACGGACATTACTTTTTAATAAAAGTTACGTCATATATCGTTGTTTAATTAAAAAAGTGAGACTCAACTTTAAAAAGTGACAAATTTTTTTAATAAAAAAAATGACACCTAATTTTACACGGTATTTTTTCCTTTCAAAATACTTTTCATATATTTTTTCAAAATATTCCTAATTTTTAAGTTATTTTTGTTAAGTTTTTAATTATACATTAGAAAGAGGCCATTTCGAAAAATTGCTCTGAACTTAGGCGTGTTTTTCGGGGAAGTAGGAAAATATTTTCCACTTTCCACTTTTTTGGCTGTTTGATAGGCGAAATTTTCCACGGAAAATATGTTCCGGATTTTCCCCACACGTGTGCAATTTCCGGGTTTTTGATGAAAATGTGGTGGGAAAACATTTTCCTGGCTGGTTGAAATTTTTTTTTTTTTTTTTTT